CGCGATTCTTCCATTCAGTCATTGGTTAACATTCCTTCTGATAAATCACATATTTTATCAGTAGCCCAACACAAAGTTCCTCTGATTCACCGATCACACATGGTACAAGAAACCCGTTTTTAAATACTTTAAAAATTTTGATTTTCCGTAAAAAACCCGTCTTTTTAGCTGCTGTAAAATTGAGAAGCCGCTCGCTGAGTTTCCATTACAACAGAAAATGCCGCACCTGCCTGCTTGTTTCACAGGTTAATTTTTTGAACAGCTGTCAATTTTTAAAACAAAAGATTTGTTGCAATCTAATTTTGAATTATGCCAATTTTCTTCTCCCATAGCATTTCTTGACTCTCCTCTCTTTCATTTCTATTAAGTTTTTTGGGGATCAATCTAAATTTTCGGATGATGTGTGCATTTTTAAAAATTAGAGATGAAATCGCTCCTTCGCCGTAGTGGTTTAGTTTTTTGTCATTAATAAGCAATTGTATTGCTGCAGAAGGCATGACTGCTCACATAGTTACGTGATTCACATAGGTTGGAGTGGCTGCTGATGACTTCTCAACTGTTAGCTGTTGTTTTGTGATTTCCGGCTGACTTCCGCATTGTGCAAAGTGTGCAAAAAACGCCTCGTGGATTGCTGTCTTCGATGTTTTTCCGGAAAAACGACCAATTGTTGTGGGAAGCGTGCAATTTTGCGCGACGCCATTTATTGCAGAAGAACTCTGTAGAATTGGAGAAAGTGACACTAGTTCAACAATTGGAAATTGCGCAACGTGGGACTGGTTTGTGACGCAACTTTTTGGCAGCATCCCAACCTCCAAGTGCATGCTTGGTAAGTAAGGTGAGAATGAAAGAAATTCACCGCATATTTGGTTCGACTTCGAATGCATGTTATAGAGAACTGAAGATCTGGGAAACCATTTTGGTGGAACAAAGTATTTAGGGCTCCCGAACAGCAAAATCGGTTGGTCTTTTCTAACATCGTCACTGACTGTTTTCGGAGAGAGGCAAGCGTGAACTGGCAGCTTCGAAACATCATCAAAGGATATTTTCAGTGAGCCATACTCGACCGAATCTATTGAAGCTGATTTCATTGGCTCAAAGTTATTGGCTGATCCGGAATTCGATGAAAATTTGCCTTCTCCAGAAACGTCAATGTATATTTCCGTAAATTTTCGTCCTTCCTTGCAAATTACTAGAGAATCAATTTCATCCGATCCGTGCTCTTCAGTGTTTTTACTATTAATTCTTTTTGAAATTCTTAAAAATGCTTGGGTCAGTTCGCGATCAATAAGCGATTGCTGTTTGCTTCCATTCTGCATCGCCTTAGAAAACAACGGACGTCTCAGGATCTGAGAATCCGGCAGGATGCCTAGACTTTTCGGAATATCATCCTGAATCTTTGAAATTTTTTCCGGAATAGATATCTCCTTGACAGTATTTCCCGCTCGGCCCATTATTGTAATATTTTTCTAATGTTCTGTTAGAAAAACTTTTTCCAAAGCAGTCCTGCTTTGACAGAACTGTTTATTTGATGTGAATAGCGCGAGTTTCAATTTGTTGCCAGCATAATAAAACAAAGATCGAAGAAGGAGCAGTCCTAAAATAAATCTTTCGCCAAAATGACGAAAAGTGTGAGACAAAAAGCATTGTGCCAAAAAACCGTGGTACCACACGTTGTCAAATGAGCACTACTTGTCACTGTATTTTGCAGTTCAAATGTTTTTGAACAAGAGCCGCAAAAATTTTGATTGCGAGAACTTCAAAATGCTTTAGTGAAGCCTTAATTTTTCGCATTTTTTCTCTACGTCTTCATCTCTTGCCTAGACTGTGTATTTTTAATGACGTTGCGATTTGGATTAGCAGAGGTAGATGATGAAATGCATCATTCTTGTGAACGGCGCCAACAGTGCTGCTGGGTCGCGGTGAATGCGAACACTGATCAGTTTTGGCAGGGGCCTCAGGCTAACAGCTACCTTGGCTTTCGTTTCTTGGAGCTGGATGCATTATCTTCTCAATGCACCCATCGACGCATCAATTTTCTTACAGTTTTTTACTCTCGACGCATTACTCGACAGTTTTCTACTCTCGGCGCTACTTCGGCGTTGTTTATTTTCAACATTACTCGGACGTTGCACATTTTCAATGTTATCCTCCAGCGTTACATACCAACACTCCTCTTGGCGCTAATGCTATTAGTCCTACATTTTCAACTCTATTTCGCGGTGACGATGCGAAAATGCACGAACAAATAACAAAATTTAACGGCAAAGATAAAATTATTCTTCATAAGCTTTTGTTTTGCCCATAAGTTCACCGCAAGTACAGGTCGTGAGGCAGCGATGCAACAGGATTGCCGGTGCCGTCACGCGTTTTTGCATAATTATGC